CTCCCCTTAAAAAAAGATATTTGCAGTTTCCATCTTTCTATTTTTCAACTACCTACTCAGGCTGCAGTTCACACATTTCGTTTGAGCATCTACTTTTGTAGATCCCAATCATTTCCTCAAATTATAATTTCTTTAAACCTGCAGGGTGACTGCATACATATAAAGAGTCTAAATCTTTAAAAGAATACTTCACTCTGTAGTGTTTCCTATTATTTTTTTTCTTCTCAAAAGGACATTCTCTTTGACAAAGTAGGGTAGACAGAATGTGAATTTCAATTCACAACACAAGTGAGGTTAGGACTGAAGATTCAAGCCTTGAAGGTGGTTACTCTGCCATTGTTTTTCTTTTTTTTTTTTTTTTTTTTTAAATTACAGTTGGTGGTGTTTTGGGAAGTAAAATTCCCAGCTCTCAATTACAGCTAGATTACTAGACTCCTCCTTCCAATACTGCTCCTTCATCTGGCCCTCCAGCAACGGAACCACCTCGATTGTGCTGTTATTTTATCTGTTCCACCATTCTCTGGCTCTGCTTTCCTTAGGAGTGAAAAAGCCCCAAAGTACCAACCCTCTCTTCTGCTCTGAAGAGCATGATGCAGTTATGGAAGTCATTGTAGCTGGAGAGGTTTACTGCATAAGTCACGTGTTGTGCCTGTTTGTCAAATCTTGGGAGTCAGTCAGAGTTTACGAAAACAGTTTGACATTGCAGACCATTGATTTTAAATAACATAAATGACTTTTCACAAAACTCTCACAAAAACTATACATTACCCCAATTATGTAAGAGTTTAACTGCTGCAATACTTCAAATACATTGTATGAATTGTGCAAGTTGCTGACAGGGTAGAAAGTTAAGTATTTGCTCAGAAGTAATGGTTTACAGACGGAACGCCGCAAGCTCTGTGCTTTACCAGTTCCATTTGAAGAGAAACTGCACTGTTCACTTTCATACGGTGCACGATCACAGTAAGCTCCTCCATACGCTGCTTCATAACCTGGATCGTATTTTTCTTCTTTGACAGCCATCTTTTTGGCATCCTCTGCCGAAAGAGAAGACCTCAAGTATTAATATTCAGAACAAAAATGATCGAAGAGCTTTTTTATCAGAGAACACTTGAAAAAACAGCCACACATTTTACAAGATCATTCCCACTCCCCTTAGATGATTAAGATTGAACTAAAAGGAAAATGGAATGTGTAATTCTATGCCACATGGTTTAGAGAAGATGGCACATCTCTTCCTTCCCCTTAAATCCTTTATTTCTTTTTTCTTGGGAAACTGCTAGTAGTTTGTAGGTTACACGACATTTTAATAAAGGACTAACAAAACAACCACCATACCTTGTGCAAGTTGCAAGTCAAACGTGTACTGCACCTCCTGCACCTCTGTGTTTGGTGCGATGCCTTTCAGTTGATCCCTTAAGTCTTTCAGCTTTATGTAATAATGAACTTTATCTTGCGCACGAGGAAACTGAGCACATCGTGCACTGGATGATGGCATAACATAGCAGAGCTTGAGACAAAGAGCGAGAAAAATAACATTACTGCTCCCTGAATGATGAAGTAATATTTAGTGCATCAGGAATAACGTAACAGGTAAGCTCACTGTTTTAACCCTTTGTACAAAACTTCAACTAATGCCATGGGTGGTTGTAGGAGAGGACAAAGGGAACCTTTCATTTTTCTTGGCCAGCTAGATGTCTTGCCCTAAAGAGAGGGGCTGATCATCAGCTGATGAAGCGAGGACAATTTTCAGGGGTTGTTTATGTGCTGCAGGAGCAGCAGTACCAGTATGTGTCACAAGAAGCACACTTCACAGGTGCATGCCAGAGAGCGGAGCACACTCCAGAGCTCCCAGACCAAGCAGAGCTCTGAGCCAGAGTCCCCCAAGGAGTATGTGATAGCATGCCAACACCCCAAACTACCGAGGGTGGCATCGCAGGTTAATTAGCCTGGCTTCTTGGCCAAGTGCGTCTGCATCACACTTGCCAGGGTTTGAAACAACTGGAGTTAGTGTGGCTGAAGCCAACTCCAGCGCCTCTATCTCTGCTTGACAGCCCTAATGAATGCCATGAAGTGAGGTCAGGAAAAAGGAACTGTATCCCATTACTTTTATTACTGTGCAGTATTTATGAGCAAATACTAGCAAAGAGGATTATTTATCTTTCTTACAAATATATCTACTGCGGAAGTCTTTAAGAGCTACTTAAGCAGCAAGCACTTTATCTCCAACAGTTCTTCAGGCTCTGATGGCAGCACTTCACCTTTAGAGAAGGACAGCTTAAACCGAGCTTAAACTTGCAGCCCTAGTAATTTGGGATAGAAATGAAAACAACCCAAACTTTTGAACTGACACGGTAATGACGCTTTGGAACAGCTGGTACCTGGCAGGTAGTGCAATTGCCTTTGCCTTAACCTGTTTATAAGAACACGTTAAACAAACCTATTTGTGATTATACATAGCTGGTCTCTTGCGATATCTTCCAACACTAGATGTCTATGACTAATGCACTCTTCATCACACTGTTTTATCTTAAGTGTCCAATTTAATTTCAAGCTGCAAATCCGCTTATGAAGACTGAGTCTCATGGAAGTGCGTGGGCACACCCAGATCCAGTCATGCTGTAGCTGTAGTGTGCAACAGCACGTTGACCGACTTGCTGTTCTTTCTCCCCTGCTGTGGCACTACTGGCACCACAGTCATGTTTGGTATCAAAACTCAGTAATACAAACATACGGGGAATTGGACACAGAGAATCAGATGAAAGTAGATGATGGTTATCATAAAAGCATGTATATTTTATTCCTATTTTAGACAGTCCTCAGAGAGTGCACTAACATACTAACTATAGTACACCATTTCCCAAATAAAGTCTGCAAGTCTGAAGAAACTGCATGAAAGATGCGTCTGAAAATTGCACTATCTCCCTTTCTCTACTGAAGTAAAAGCCTTCCACATCCCTTGTACTTTGGGCAAACTCTGACATTATCGTAAATATGTGCAAGTCCTGAGGCTTCATTAGTTTTGAAATAACCAAAATAGAGTGCCCTGGTTTTGTTTCTCAGTATCAATACTTACAGTTTCTGTATCTGGCACCTTGTGTGGCTGCAGTCCAAATTCCAAGTTCTTAACTTTTATTCCAAAAACTTCTTTACTAAAAATTTCATAAATACCTAAAATGAAAAGAAGACAGGATAAGCAGACAAAGAAAAGCTACTGACAGAGTGACCTTATTTAAAAAAAAATCAAGGTTCTCACATTTTCCATTGAAAGCTGCTATACGAGGTTTATACTTTTGTAACTTCTGCATCAGAATTCGCCCTCCTTCCCGAAACTCTTTGCTAAAAGAGAAAGTACTCAAAATTATAATCACAACTATTAACTCATTAATAAGCACGATATGCCCCCTTGTTGTCCTACCTGGAGAGGTCTTTGCTTCCAGGTGTTGTCCTTTCAACCATGTTTGTAAATCCAATCCCGTATTTATGTGGCAAGGTGTGGTCATCCATATGGTTCAGCTGTTCGTTACTTAGACCAGACATGAACAGACACTTCCCTGTGAAGTAGAAAAACATGCATTTGCCTTTTTCCAAGGAAAAGAAAACAAAACCAAAAAAACACCCTCAACTGCCAGAGTACTGGAATGCTAACGGAAGAATCTATCTTAACAGAGCATCAGTTAATTTGGGAAGACTACTGCCTGTCCAGAAAAGTTTAAAATAGCCAAAATTACTTTATCTACTGCAAGAGGATAGAAAACCCCTAGTGAACAACAGGAATTCCTCACCATGATCCTGTGTATGGAAACCAGACTTTTATTCTAAAGGTTCAGAACAAGCTTTAGATTTTGTGATTCACTTCAGCAGGGAGTGAATGTGATCAGTATGGCTTTTTGGGGGAAAGAATGCAGCAAATCCAACAGGCGTCAGTTTTCTTTTACAGCCTTGCCATCGCTTCTCCTCATGCTGGGCCTGACAGAACCTGTTGGCATCTCACATTCATATTTAGCATCTAAAAGTATAGTTTGGGTGATATGTGCTGCCAATCTCTGAAGCACAAATTAACCACAGCTAGTTTCTAATGATCCTGGAAGCTCGGAAACACCTGGATTTGTCAGAGCGTGCATATCTGGTCTGCTTCTTGGTAAGGGAGGCTGTTAGTCCAGCTAGCCTGCAGAACCCAAGCCCGACTTATGAGTCTGCTGGACACCGGAAGAATTTCAGCTGGAGTGTCACAGGGCTGCAAATTAACCCACGTGGAGCTCCCTAAAGAGTTCAGATCTGATCTTTCCTTATGAGAACATGCTGCAGAAAATGTTATTTAAATGGAAAAATACCTAGGAAAAAATACCTGTCTGGAGAATCATGCTTGCTAGATACATATGCCTGCTGGGAAAGGGTAATGGGTTTTGCTTTTTCATCAGTTAGAAAGCTTGTTTGGCAGAGGTGAATAAATGCAAACAGAAGAGGGCTTGCTGAAATACATTTTTGGGAAAATGTGGGTAGTTTTATATCAGAAATCGATGCCTTATTGACTTACCCTTGGGTACTAGAGATTTAATTTCTATTCTTTATGTTGCACACTAACAGGCCAAGAAATTATTTGGTAATACAATCTGGTAAACTGTGTTTACATGACAATTCAAAACCTGCATTAAAAGTCACTGATTATTCCTCCTTTATTCCTTTTTATATATGGTATTTGACAGAAGTAGTTATGGGATTTAAATCATACTTGAATGGTTAAAAGCAAAATCTCTCTCTGCATCCAAAAAAAAAAAAAAAAGCAAAACACAACCCCCAAACCAGTTAAATTAAAATGCCACGAGTTCTAACAAAGTCCTGCAAATTCTGTAAGAGGAAAGGAAAACAAAAACGTACAAAAATGGTTTCCAGGTCCAGGGTAATGATGTCCTTTGTAAGCTGCCATCAAGCCAGGGTTTATGCCAATCTACAAAGATACCAGTCCGTTTTAATGATGAGAACATGGCTCACTAGTCAGGAATTTAATCAAGTTACAGCAAGGACGCTTACTCAATTCTCTTTAAGTTACTGTCAATAAACTGAACTGTGTTAATGGTACCTTCCACCACTACTTAAAAAAATCGGCAATTTTATAGCAGTGTCTCATTTCGACATGCAATGTCAAAAGAGCAGCTCACTGTGTTTTACAGCCACTGGTGTAGCGCTTCCAGTAAATAAAATGTCAAGTAACGGTCTCGCAAGACTAGGTATTATACGTAAGCCTTAGACTTCTCTGAAGTTAGAACTACGTTACTATGATTTTTAACAGAAAATGCAAAGCAGCTCCACGCACAGGAAACAGTTTATATACTTTATCTTGCAAGATCTTGCCATATAAGCAATACAGGTAAGTAAGCAGAAGGAATGTAAATCATAACCAGTGAGCACAGACTATTCACTTCTCCACCTAACCTTGTAGCCGTGAGTTACTTACTATTACAATGTCCAAGTCAAAGGTCAAAATATCCGGTAGAGTCTTGGTCAGCAGTTCCGCTTCAGTCACGCCATTAAAACGGTCCACTTTTCTTTTGACTTTAAAAGTATCTGTGATCTTTTCTTGTTTGCCTTTTGACTTGGCTGATTTTTCTTTTTTAGCAGCAGGCTTTTTGGGTTGCTTTGGCTCAGTTGCTTTGGCTTTTCTTTTCCTTCCTCCTTTTTTAACTTCTGAAACACACAGCAAATATCCTTTTTCTATGTTTCTAATGCTGCAGTGTGGATATTCAAAAAGACTGAGCATACATTTATGGACGCAAAAAGAAATCAGACAGATAAATTTACCTTAAAAACTCATCAGATGAATCTTGGTTTTGCAGGCTCAACACAGAGCTAGCTTGGGTGTCTCTGTGCCGCAGAGACACACACTACTCATCACAGGCAACCGTGTTGACTTTGGCTACAAACCAAGAATAACCTCATGACTAGGGTACGCTGTTTACATGCTGTATGCAACCATCCTTTGGAAACGGTTTCATTTCTTTCGGAGGTTATGCCAGAACATCAAAGCTTAGGTTTCAAGGAATGCGATAGTAAGTTCTAGTCTACGATTCAGCTTCGGAATATGTCAGTTGGTTGTTACAGATTACATAACATATTGAAGAAACCGAGCAGCACGTCAAAAGCAAAAGCTCTCAAAGATCACCTACAGCGTGAGGTATGAGCTTGTCAGGAATACAAACACTTGGGCTGAACGCTGCAGAGGCTACTTACAATTTATTGTTTACAGAACGGATACTGTCCTGTGCATCGTATAGCAAGGTATGAGAGCATCAGGATCTCAGTTTGAATGAGTGACACCAAACATTAATTTTTATTTACAAAATGCAAACATAAAGTAGTCGCTGTTCCCTCATTTGAAACTTCCTCATCTTCTGGCCCCTAAAGCTTAGAGATTCAATCAGCACAGGTACCGGTCATTGCTCTCTGTTCTTGTTCATTGATAACCTCGAGTTGCAGAACACAACTTCAAAAGTAAGAAAACATATTTAGCAGCAATCAGCAAAGAGCCAAGGTAATCTATTACTTTAAAATTGAGAATTCAGCTGATTTTCAAAATTTCTAGATGAAATTCTCCCTCAGATAAGAAATAAATACGGTGGGTACGAGGGCACTGCCCTAAGTCTGCAAACTTTTTTTGGGCTGTTCTTGTTTGCACTCAGCTTTTTCAGAAGAAAGACAAAAGTCATGTGAATTCCCACCGCATCATTGCAGCAACTGCTTAGGAAAGCTGTAAGCAGCAGTACTCAAGCTACAGCCTAGTTACAACGAAGAAGAGACTAGAAAGGCACAGACCTTGTGAGGCACGCAAGCAGCTTTTCTTTCCTACCGCTGGAAGAACTAGGTGGTTTGTTTTTCATGTGACTGCAAAGTGCCACAGACAGTCCAACTGCTCTGAACTGGATGTATATTGGATGTATTTCAAACGAAGCAGGATAATGTTCCCCTAACTCTCATGCTGGTCAGGTACCTACTGCCAGCTGCTGTCATGAAAGATGAAGAACGCCAGGGCAGCCTTTCAGACGGTAACCCTAAAAATTTTACTTTTTTCATCGGAGCAAGTGGCTGGACTTAAAATCTTTGCCTTTCACATACACTTTGGTAAATTTCACACATATTTGGTAAGTCTTCAAGCCCTGCCTTCGAAGGCCTTCCTCAACTTTCAATTCTTGCAAAAATGTCAGGGAACAGCTTTGTAACAGATGATTACGGTTGTCTAACAGTACTTGAAAGTGCAGTCAAACAGCCTGCTCGTGGTGACATCATGTTATCCAATAATAAAGCTGCAAAAGCCGCCTAACTATAGGGCATGCAAGATGCATCCGAACTGGAGTGAGTAATACAGTGAACGAATACAGCATTTGCAACTGTCTTAAACTGCATGTTTTCTTCCTATGATTCCATCTGGCCAAGCACCACAACTAAAAAAGCAAAATTGAAGCTTATAAAAGGATGCACTTAAACAAGCAACATCATTGCATGAACTGGCTGACAAGCTTACCTTAGCACAGAGATCTCTGACCTGTATTAAAAGCAAGATGAAACTCAGGGTGTGAATATTTGCCATAGAGTAAGATTTTAAGCATGGTGGAGATCACTGCCTTTTTTATGTGGTAAAGAGCAAGCACAAGAGTAGCAGAACAAGGGATCTTTTCTTGGCATGGTTAGCGTAAAGCCTAAGTGTGCAAAATCCTAGTGGGGGAAAAGAAAGGCAATGTACACGTGCATAAAGTACAAAACTTGTGCCACTTAGGAGACACTTTCCAGCACTGTTTGTATTTGTTTAAATAAGCCTCATTAAAACCAAACAATACCTTGTGTATACAAGAAATTAACTGTCTGTGATTACTACAACACAGTAAAACACCATTTAAAAAAAAAAAATCAAATAAACAATATTATACTGTACTTCTCTTGCAGAAATTAAAGAAAAATTAACTCAAGACTGAAAAAGGAAAACTTCTCTAACATAATATTAAAACCCACGAAATCAGCTAAAAAGGATACATTTATCTATGGAAATAAAAATCTGCTTTTCCTGCAACAAGATAATTTTGTGAGACTGAACAATGTGAACAGTATCGCCTGGGTTTACTTCTTGTCTTTTTAATTGTCCGGTAAAAAAAAAATTACTTAAAGAATACAATTAATCAATAGTTCCTCAGAGAGCATCAAGAAATCCAATAGGTCCAAAGAAGCAGTTTAAGACCAATAATTTTTCCCCGCGATCGATTACTAACGTTTCACTTAGCACAGCCCAAACTACCTTTTGGAGGCTCCTGAGCAATGTTTGGCTCTGGAATGCCCTCTAGAGTCAGCTGCTCAGTCATGATTTCCACATTAGGCGCTGCAGTCATCATTTGATGGAACGGAAATGTGTAAAAAGCTTGAGCTTGCTGAAGGTACGCGTAGTATCTTAGAAAGGGAGAAAAAAAGAGAGATGTAATTTATAAATAAGTTTAGCGATGTACCAAACAGACGTAAACATCAATCGTCATCAAGGCTGGCGTGCGCTGCGCTTACATTTGCCAACGACTCTATTAACAAGGCAGGAAATTTTCCAAATCCACTAAACAGTCTGACTGCTTAGCTGGCATCAGGGGATGTTAAACCCAACGTTAACAGTACGGTTCTCTCGTGATTGCTATGATGTGGAAGAATCACAACATTTGTAAGTGAAGCGTAGAGTTTTTCCCTTTTTTTCTGAAAAAGACGTTCTGTAGCACAAATTACCAAGGCAAACTGTCTATCAAACATACTGACAGTTTACAACATAAGCGAGTTAAAACTCTTTGGGCTTCAAGTTTCCCAAGTTCTAGATTTTCTTAATCTTACATCAGTTACTTTGTCTGATATGATACAGAATGGGTGAATCATTCTGGGCTACAAAACATGATGAATATATGCAGTATTAGATTGCTATGTTGATTATTAAAGTCGCTATGCAGATTATTAAAGCTTTAACAAATGGTGTGGCAGATCTTGTCCAGTTATCGCACGCTGGATCCCAACACAAATATTGCAGTTATTCTACACGGAAGCGTTCACACACACGGCGGTTCAGTCTCCTTCCACGCACAAAGACATTTTTCCATATCCAGCTCTTTTGCTCCACACGTGTATTAGTCACATACAGCCCTCACACCCCAGCACAAACTTCTGCTTCATACTGTCATTCTCTTCTACCTACACAGCCGCCTTCTTGTGCGTAGATTCTTCTGCTGTGCAAATACATAGAAAAGGTTTCGTGAACAGTAAGATTTCAGGAAATAATTTTATCACCTCAGAGCTACTAATAAAAACACTAAATAATTTTTAGGTATGTAGAAATTTCTCAGAAGAAGGGATCGTTCTCTATTACAATGAGGGTGGTAAAACACTGGAACAGGTTGCCCAGAGAGGTAGTGGAGGCCCCATCCCTGGGAACATTCAAGGCCAGGTTGGACGGGGCTCTGAGCAATCTGATCTGGTTAGCAGTGTCCCTGCTCACTGCAGGGGTGTTGGACTAGATGAGCTCTAGGGGTCCCTTCCAACCCTAAACATTCTATGATTCTACATATTGCATATTTAAGAATATTTAAGAATCCCACTGTAAATCAGATTTATGCCAGAACAGCCTACAGTCTTGCGATCAGGCCGCTGATTGTGAACCACATACCTGCCCTGAATCAAGGAGAATAAACCTGAACACGTCTGTCAGATTCCTGGGGAAGTTGCCTAACAAAGTCCCGGAGGATTTTCAGAGTACAGTAAATACC